ACAGGTCAGTGTACATAGGTTTGCCAACCACACTAGCTAGTTTACTTAAAGCTTCTGTAGACTAGTAGCCAACAGGTAAACTAGGAAATCTCAGCCATAAAGGAATCACAGTTAGACATTCAGGATCAAACACAAAATCAATCGACCAATTCTTCAAAATGAAAGGCTTGTTATGGAATGTATAAGGACCTTATTGCATAACTCGATCCATATCACTCACAATATCAAACCTAAATATGTAGTAGCAGTCGTCATGATACATGATTTTGGGTTTGATAACAAAATTTCACACATTCTCCACATAATTTTTCATGGATTTGAAAAATTGTGCATCCCCCAAAACATTCCCTATCAGAGATTTACCCCAATATTCCAGTTATTCCTTGATATCCTCCTCAACTATGGTAACTACAAAGGTATCACCATGCAAGTCTAGAGGAATGTAGGTAAGGGCCTTACCCACTTGTGAACTCCGAGTCCTCTGGTAGGGTTTCTCGTCCTTTGGTGGAGATTCATGTTCCTCCATTGAATGGGGTTTTGCAGCATCAGGAGTTGGTACTGTGGAATTAGCTAGGTCAGAAAATTGGAGACGGCGTGGAATCTTTATCCCCATTCTTTTCGTAGCACGTTTTTTAGCTGGATTGAGATGATTCTCACTCTTCTCCTCATCTTCTGGTTCCTCGTGGATGGGTTGAAATTGTAGAAGTAGGAAGCTACCAAAAGTTAATGGTCTCAGTTGTGATTGAATCCCACACTACTAGAAATTCAGCAAAAATCAACCACAGTCAACCGATCAATTTTGGTCGGTCAAACAACCGGCCAAAAAACAGACCAAAGTTGGTCGGTTTTTCAAAATATTTTATTTTTTAATTTATTTTTACGAAACCGACTAACTTTGGTCGGTTTTCTTTGGCGCAAAAATGCGGGAAACTAATTTTGAGTCCCGCAAAATTTATTTTTCAAGAAACCGACCAACTTTGGTCGGTTCATTTAAAATAAATTAAAATTAATATTAAAAAAACTGACCGAAATCGGTCGGTTAATTCGGCGGTCATTTTAAAAAACCGACCAAATTCGGTCGGTAATTTTATTTTTTAATAAAACCGACCAACTTTGGTCGGTTATTTTCATGTGAAAATACAATTAAAGAGCATAAATGAAATAAAAGACAGTCTTAAAACAAAATTCACCAATGGTCTAGTGGTAGAATATTATCCTGCCACACTACAGACCCCGGTTCGACTCCTAGATGGTGCATTTTTTATTTACATAATTAAAATACCGACCAACTTTGGTCGGTTTTTTGAGCAATTTATTTTTTGAATATAATTGACCGACCAAAGTTGGTCGGTAATTTCCGACCAACTTTGGTCGGTATGTCCTTTCGATCTTCAAAAAACCGACCACACGTTAATGGTCGCTTTTGGACGGTTATTGGCCATTACCGATTAATTTTGGTCGGTTTTTTTGGACGATTTTTTTCGAATTTCTAGTAATGTTATTCGTCGGAATTGCTATAGACAAAGTCGCCGGTGATGGCAAGGTGCTGGTAGCAGGCATTTTCTCACTACGTGTGCACATTAGCAAAACTCGCTAAACGTGCGCCGAGAGGAAATCATGCTCTAGCCAACAAGAATATCCAATTTGAGCGTTATTTGTTAAACATAAGAGGTAAAGGACTAAACTGTACCAACTTTTATTTACTTATCTTATTTGGCGCTGTGCGTCTTTATCATTTTGTTTACATGGACTCGTTTTGACAGGTAATTAAATATTGTTACACGACTTATACGCGAACCTAACGCGCAGGCTTTTAAGTTTTAAGCGCATATTCTTTTAATGATAAATGATTAATGAGTCTATCATTTCATTTATTTATTTTTTATTTTAAGGACCCAATTTTTTTTTTTTTTGTGGAATACAGAATGAAGGAGTGCATTAATGACACTAAGGTTTGCAAGTCTAGCCAAGTTATTACTGCAAGCCAAGATATTTTTAACAAGTATTATTAATTCTTTGTCCACTAAGATGACCCTTCAACAAACATATATAGTTGAAACTAGATAGAGTTGGATTAAAATGACATAAAGATATTGTTAATACAGTGTTATATTGTCCATTTTAGGTTATGCCCACACGATTTTTTCACCAAAAGGCCTTTCATCATTAAGAGTATAACTCACATTATTCGAGTATTCATGGTCACCAAAGGCCAGAGAAGAGGTTGTGTATGCGTCTTCGAGTATTTATGATTCAAGGTTGTGTACGGGTAAAGGTAGTAAACCGGTCTATAGACGGGCAAAGGCACTAAGCTGAGACCTACGCCATCACCAGGGGCGAAGCTACAGCCTATCAAGGGTGGACAATTTGACCACCCTTTGTCGAAAAATTACATTGTGTATATAGGTACAATATTATGTTTTAAAGATATATAATATATATTAACTTCTTTCAAATTTGAACACACTTGGAAAAATTTTTGGCTTTGCCATTGGTCATCACTCCGCCATCTCCATATTCGCCAAACCATTGGCTCAGTTCGTTGGGCTAAAACGATCCAAAGATACTCTTAACATGGTGTGATATTGTCCACCTTAGGTTAATCCCATACGATTTTTCCCAAAAGGTCTCGTACCATTAAGATTATCCAAACTCTTTATAATTAGACAGCTTATTTATTTCTTTTACCTTTCAGTTAACTTTGCTCACACACACCCTATAAAACTAGCATTGGTTTGCTTGGCCTCCTCCCTTTGCTAAAAGACGAGCTACTAAGTTTCTTTCCTTGAATTTATGCCACACAATCGGATTCTCAACTTGTGCATATATTTATTAACCATCTGCAGTCATTGAAGAATTATTTTCAAGAAAGTGCATTAACTGACTCTGTTGAGTCAGCGTCGATCTCCAAGAGAATGAGGTTACGTTCATGCGCCACTTGCAAATTGCAATCCAGATCTCAATGCCAATAATTCTGCATGAGTGTGACTCTGAACTTGATTGCAACCATAAAATCCCAACATCGGCCATTCACCTTTTGCATTTTTAACAACTCTTCCAAATCTACTTCTTCTATCGCTTTCTTTAGAAGAACCATGCATGTGTATTTAATTTGTAATGTTTTATTAAAGTAGACTGCCATTTGACCATATATTTTCTCATTCATACAAAGAGTTTGACTAGTAAAGGAATTTACTGGGTTTTATTGTGTTTACGCGTAAGATACCTTCCTCTGTTTCAGACCCTACTTGAAAAACAATGAGAAATCCCTTGGTTATCATTTCCTCGCCTATAAAGATATGCCCAGACAACTTTTCTCATATATAACTGACAGATACTTTTATCTTATACTTACATATTCTTCTTTCGCATTTGCTTTTCTTATTCTCTATTGTTCTCTGGTATTTAATCCTCTTGCATTCCTTGTTCTTTAGAGATTCGAGATTCTCAACTCGTCAGGAATTAAGTTATATATACAAACAGATACAATGATTTTCTTACATTATTAGTTTTTTAATCTTGTTATAACAAATTAGTTACAAATCAATGCTATTAGATTGAGTTAACCACAATAACCTTTTATCGGTGCCAGTAGACATTAAGCCTTGAGAACACAAAAACCACTTTGCTTTCAAAGTGATTTGCTAATTAACCTAGGGTCCTACATATTTCCACGAGTCTTATTTCAAAAGAGTAAAACTCCATCTTCAAACATGTTGCTATCCCTCGTAGATGTTCAATGCTTTGATGTTACGACTTACTTTCTGAAACATTGGCTTTTTGAGTATCTATATGTGGAACAACCATATGATTTTGTTGATTCCTCTCGTCCATGTTGTATTTCTCCACATTTTACATAAAGCTATTCATAACCTTAACTAAGCTTTAATTTTCGAGAGCTTAGTGTGCTTTGGTCCCTCAATTTATAGCATGATTAGTATTTCGTACTGCATTTAATTTATACATATGTACGACGTTTACTTACAGCAAGCGAAATACAAATTTGTTTTTATTCCTTTACTTTGATGACATGATTGCATTATCACTTGCTTTACCCTCGTTTACTTCGCTACATTCTACTAAATAAAATCTTCGTTTAATCGGGCCACCTTAATTACTGAAGAAAATAAACAAACAACCAGTGAGACAGAGAACAAATTAAAACAAGCTTTATTTCTGAGGTTTTAAAGTTACTGTTTACATGGCTGCTGCCTTGGTATAAATAATAATACACTGCCCCGATTATTTGGACTCCTCTTTGCAGTAGTATATATCACATAAACCTTTTCCTTAACACACACAACTTTGTAAAGGTTAAACCTATACAAGTACGAGGAGTTGGACTCTAGTTGAATGAGTCTAATACACACTAATTACTATCTTGTTGTGTTTGTAGATGTATGTATGGGTCTGCTGTAATATTCATATACTTGTAAATTCATGTTGTCATAAACATATTTATCCTTGCAGGGAATGCTTCAATATATATAAGGGTTGGTGAAGTTGACTAATTCTTTTACTTTTACAAGGGGTGGGTGTAAAGAGATCTGCCTGAGAACTTTTCTCATTCTATACAGATACCTTTGTCTTAACATAGCCTTCTTTTGCATTTACTTTTCTTATTCTCTGGTATTTAATCCTTTGGGAATCGCTTGTGCATGCAGTTCAGCTTTCTTTATAGAATTTAATTTTAACTAAGCAAAGATTCGTCACAAAATGCATTTTGAAGATATATATTTCAAAATATTAACATAAGAGGAGAAGAAGCTAAGGGAAAATAAAAACATGAAAAAGTACAATAAGCACAATAATTTGTTCTTTTTAACGTGGTTTATCAGGCAATAGACCTACAAGAGCTGGCTTTTGTCCTTTCCCTTATGCCTTGCCAATGCATAAAGTTAAGAAATGTATACCAACCTTTCATAAGAAGCAAAACCCTTTAAATAAATTACATATTATCTGACTTTTTTTACCAAATTTATGCTAGATTTCTATATATAATGACCAAATCATACCCCGAAATGTCAAAATAAAAAAACAACAAAAATCTAACTGGATTTTCTTCAGTAACAAACCCATTTCCCTGCATCTTAGAAGCCATGGATCTTGTAACATACCAGTATTATCGACCGGCTTCAAAGATAACAATATTTGCACACTTGTTTGGTCTTCTTGCTTTGATTCTTATGCTTGTTTGGTTGCTTCATTATCGTGAAGGCGTTAATCTTTTTTCATACTATCCAAATCAGATATTTAATGTATGTATATACCTTGATATATTCAGTTAATTAATAATGTCAGAGACTTTACTATTGTTAAATGTCACTATTACTTTCTGCAGGTTCACCCACTTTTGATGTTCTTGGGGATGATTTTCTTGTCTGGCCAAGGTAAGCACTTAGTATTCTCCCTAATTAATACATGAACAAAAAAGAAACAATAGAAATAGGTTTACTATTATGTACTTTGAATTGCTGGTGAGTCGAAAATTAGTAGTTTATCAACAGTTTCTTTGGAGCAAACTATATATACCATGTGGACTCAAATGAGAATAATATACTACGTAGTAATAAACATTACTCTTATACAGTAATTATTTATTTTTTAATGAGTCGCTTACTAAATAAACTAATTTGCGCTTAGAAAGGATCAGTCTCCACATTAACAAATACTCTATTTGTTCCACTTTTACGTGGCAGTACTATTACTATTCGAGAGTCAAACAAGGTTTTGTTTTACCACATGTTTTTGCAAAAACTTTTTAAATACATTACATTATTAATTATTGTGACTTATAATACTTTTTATGTAATTTCTATATGTAAATTTTATTTAAAAACTTTATATCCGAATTTACATTAAAAAGGTAAGGTTATTTGATCTTCGTATTTCAAATATTTCAAAACGATAGTGAGTACGTAATTGTTTATAATATTATGACATGTTTTGTATGAGCAGCACTAATGGCATACAAGACAGTGAAAGCAGATAGGAAAGTGCAGAAAGCGGCACATTTTTTACTACATTTAGCTGCAATTTGTCTTGGGATCGTTGGGATACATGCTGCTTTCAAGTACCACGATAGAAGGAATTTAAGAGACATGTATAGCTTCCACTCCTGGATAGGCATTGCCACTATCTGCCTATACATTTTGCAGGTATATATGTATCAACTATATATATATATATATATATATATATATATATTATATTCTCTATTATTCTTGTTATTGTTTCTCTTTTCATGAAGAATATTTAGTTTTTATTGTCATCATCTATTCTTCGGTTAAATTCATTTTATCTTTATCGTATAAATCTTTAAATGAGTTTCTCAACTTCTCATCAAATGTAATTATAATCGCCCTCTAATATATGGACTTCGATTGATTTTGTGATCCATTGAAAATTCCTTCTAGTTTTATGTCAAATCTCCCGAGAGATCTTATCAAAATAAAACACAAGAAATTATTGCGATATGCAGAGACATTTTCTTCTATTCAAATTATAAAAGACTATGTTAAACCATTTCCTCGTTGATTGGTTTAGAGCTATTTTTAGATTAGTTATTGTCCTGACCCATCTTATAGCCCCTCCTGCCCCCATGCATGTGATGAGTATTTATTTTGATCAAAAAAGTAAATTTGTTCATTTTTTTTCAATGTTTATTCTTATTTTAATTTTGCAGTGGTTGGTTGGGCTGTGTATGTACATGTTACCATACACAAGAAAAGAAACAAGGGCAGTGAATCTGCCATGGCACATATCAGGTGGTAGAGCAATCTTTTACATGACAATTTGTGCAGCGTTGACTGGATTAATGCAGAAAATCACATTGATGCAGCTCCAATTATTTTCTGGAGAATCACTTTTGATCAACTTCCTTGCAATATTCATCCTCCTTTTTGGAATCTCCGTTGATATTTCAGTTGCTCTTGCACGTTATGCATAATTATTTCCCAAAAATAAATCTCCTATTATCTGTCAATTAATAAACAATTCTACACACAGAGGCCAGAGTGACATATTGATGGACTGATTTTCTTGTTTAATTTATTCATATTTTTGTTTGTTTTTGTTTTGCTTTCGAATTGTGGAAATTGTAACTGAAGTTTATTTTAATAAAATATTGTCTTTATTTTTCTGCTGCAGCGCTACTTACAATTGCACTGTCCTTAATTAGATAAACTGTAAGTACTTAATATGATCAAATAAAATGATTTAGGGAAGATGAAGATTTGTCAGAATCTTCTATGTAAACGAAGTGAGAATCTTCCATTCAGGAGTATCAAATAGAATAGGGAAAAGGTCTAAAACTGCCCCTCTACTGCTATATTGTTTACTTCTACCACCCGTTATACTATTTGTCCATTCTAACTCTTATCATTAATGAACTTAAAATATTTGCCCCTAACCCTAACGAATCTACACCGTGACAGCTGACCAACTACTCCATTTTTTCCATGTCAGCTCCCAAGTCACACGACCCCACCAAATTAAAATTCCACGCGCTGAGGTGAGGGGCCAAGGTCATGAGAGACATGACGCAATAAAGTTTACCCGTGTGGGATGTTTAAACACGAAGAAATCAATAGATGCATGATATGTGTTAAATGTGTGTGAACAAAGTCCCTCGTGGAAAGTAGAAAAGAAAAAAAAAATTACTTATAAGGAGTTGGATACTCTTAATGATGTAAGACTTATTGGGAAAAACAGTGCGAGCTTGGCCAAATGCAAATTTTATCTTTTCATATGAAGAGTATCTTTGGATCGTTTTAGCCCAACAACTTATATCAGAGCCAATGGTTTGGCGGGACGAGTATGAAGATGGTGAAGTGTCCCACATAGAAATAAAGAAAAGAAAAAAAAGAAGTTGTTGGGCTAAAACGACTCAAAAATACTCTTAACATCGTTTGATATTGTCCTGCTCAAGCCTGCACTATTTTTCTCAAAAGATATCACACCATTAAGAGTATCCAACTTCTTATAAGCAGCTTCTTTTTCTTTTATACTTTCTATGTAGGACTTTGTTCATATAAACCCAACAATCTTCCCCATGAATTAAGTTTCACATGACCCATCACCATGGGCTAATTTGGAGATTAACTATGTGTCACCCATATGATCCTAAGTAGTTACGGTCATTGAAGCCTAGAGCAGAGGCTTTGTAAGTATCTTTGAACGAAGAAGGGTCAAATTTGCCCCTCTATTATAAGAAAAGGATTAATTTTATCCTTCGTTATATTATTAGTCTAAAATACCCCTAACGTTATACTAGTGAATCAAATATACCCCTCCTCTATTAGAGTTATCCAAGATGGATATTCAATCCCACGTGGCACTGATATCTTTGTAAGGTAGACACCACGTAGCATGCCACCTCATCACCTTAACCCATTTTATCCTTCATCTTCAATTCTTCAAAACTTGTTTAAGGAACAGAGCATTTTGAAGATATTTTTTCTGCATCGCAAATGTTTATCATAAGAGCACCAAATATGATTCTTGAACTATGAATCTTTTAGGAGAACTAACGGCAGAGCAAGTTTAAAGTAAATAGAAGCATAGAATTTTCGCAAGGAACTTAATAATGGGAACAACTCTAAAAAAAATTTCTTTTTATTTTTTTGACATTTTTCATTATCCATGTGATTCAAGAAAGGACTGAATCATCTTCCTCATCCCAATGATTTCTCTTTCATATCCTCCTCTCTCAGGATAGTAGGTAATCTCATATGTTCATCCAGCGAGTTTCAGAATCAACGGCAACTCTATATTAAAAAAGTTGTTCTTGCACGCCAACTATGCTCTTCACTAAATTTACAAAATTATAAAATATATTAATGATCGAAGTAAATTTAACTGTTAGTAAAAATAAATCATCTTTATACACCTTCTACACCCAAAAAAAACAAAAGAATGTAAAGAGACGAAGAACGAAAGCCCCAAGGTTGAATAACAAGCAAATATTTCTTAGTTTACAATAGCAAACTATGGTCATTCCACGCAGAAACTTGTATCAGCATTGTAGGTGAGGTGCTAACAGATTTTTTCTGTAAAGGACACCAGCATAAGTGTCCTCAAAAACTCTACTCCCAGCGGGCTACACCTTAAGCAAAAGAGAGAGCTTTATACAAGTGAAATCAAGACATTGAAATGCACTTTTTCATGTGTTTCAAGATATTTTCACTAATTATCATCGAGCATTTACATATGAGTTGGGGTGATGACATGGGTGTTTCATCAGAAGAGGTACTGGTCCTGATTGTAGGAATAAAAGAAATAGGCACGAGATGAATGAAGACTGAAAAAAGGGAAGATTCATGAATTTGTTATAAATATGGAAAGGGAATCGGCATTAACTTTGATTATGGGTGATCTCCAGTTATTATTTTAACCAGTACAATTAAACATGATAACGGAAAATTAAGGCAATTAATTTCATTAAAGAGCCAGAATTAAGTAGGAAAACTGTTACAATTATGTGTCCGTATATAAGAACCTATACCTTATTTTATACCGGCATCTGAATATTTTTTAATATATGCAATCAGTCTTTTACTTTATTCGATTCAAGTGTTCAATCCGTAATTCTGGAAAGATTAGAATTCAATAATAAGCTTTCTTTCCTTACTTATTATTTCCATTATTTTTCTTATTCTTTGAATTATCAAGAAAGTGAAGTAATTTTGGTTATCAGTAATCCGATTTTTTCCTAATATTAGTTTTGACCATAAAATCTCTTTTTGGGTTAAACAAATTAGTTTTATTGCTGGAAATATGATAATCTGTTCACTTTTCAAACCTCATTTTTTAGTCACAAAACATGTCTATTGCTAACAAAAATAATCAGGTGAATTAATAAGGTGGAACTCCACCACATTACACACCCACGGCTACCCCTCAACATTCACAAGAAAGTTCACCTAAAAGGTCTGTTTCACGTACTGATGGGCATCAGGGAGGTGAACAAATCATTGAGCAGGATGCTTTGAAGTAGTTGATTGTACTACACGTGAACGAACCACTACGAGCTTTTGCGAGTGGATTGCCCAATACAACACAAACTCCTCCACCAGTGAAGCGTTCAGGACTTGACAATTTTGGAAGTGGAGAAATGCCAAACAAATCCCGAGATGGAGGATCAGGTATACCGAATAATTCTATTTTACAAAGTTTAGTATTAACTTTGCAAAAATAGCTGAAGGAGCAAAATGAATGTATAGAGCAAATACCTGGTGTGCCTCATGTAATCAAGGGTGTGGTCATTGATAAATATTCACAACACCCCAGGAAGCCAAGTTCAACACCTTTGCCAATTCCCAAAAAATTTAAAATGCTTGATATCCCTAAATATGATGGGACATCTGACCCACGGGATCATATTACTGCATTCACCACAGGGGTAAAAGACAATGATTTAACCAAGAAGAAAATTGAATCAGTCTTGGTCAAGAAGTTTGGCGAAACTCTCACGAAATGAGAGTTAACATGGTACTCACTCTTACCTAAAAACTCTATTGATTCTTTTGTTGAGCTTGCAGATTCGTTTATAAAAGCACATTCGGGGGCTCAAAAAGTTAAAAAATGATGGAAGATATCTTCAAAGTTAAACAGGGAAGTACATAATTGCTTAGAGAGTTCATAAATAGATTCCAACGTGAGAGAATGATGCTGCCACGAGTACCTGATAATTGGGCGGCTATGGCATTTGCAAGTAATTTGAATGAGAAGAGTTCAGAAGCCACAAGGAGATTGAAAGAGAGTTTGCGGGAATTTCCTGCAACCACTTGGAACAATGTGTACAATCGATACAGCACGAAGTTGTGAATATGAGAAGATACGGTTACTCAGCTAAGGGCAAAAGAAAGGCTAGGATCTAGATGCTCAGAATAAGAGAAAAGGTCTGGTAAAAATAGGTAAGAGCCTTACATGGGACACGTAGGGTGAGATTTCCGGTCTAAACAAGAAAATGCATGGTTCGATTCAAGATCAAAACAAAACGAGACGAGTTCTTCTTCCCGATTCAAAAAAGAACGGGACATACGAGGCAATGATTCCAACACTCAAGAAAAAATTGGAGATTATAGTTTCAACGTCAGCACTTCTGAATTGGTGGCTGTTATGTGAGGAATAGGAGACACGGTATGATGGCCAAATAAAATAAGGTCGGATCCAAACAAAAGGAACACAGAATTCTGATGCGAGTTTTACAATGATCATGGCCATAGAATAGCAGATTATAGGCTCTTACAGGGGGAAGTTGAATATCTACTGAAGCAGGGCTATCTCACTTATTTGTTTAGTGAGAAAGGAAAATAATTTTACATGAAAAACATGCAAGAACCATCAATGCCTCCATCTCCAAAAAGAATGGTAAACGTCATAACCGGAAGAGAAAAAGTTAATGGGGGTAACGTACACGGCTATGAAGAAGACATCAAAGGTTACTGTTACCCACGGGAAACGAGTTCGCCTAGTTTTGGAAGGAGACAACATAGTGTTTGATGACGAAGATGCGGATGACTTGATGATTCCTCATAACGATGCACTGGTAATATCTTTACTTATACATGATACTAACGTTAAACGAGTTTTGATTGACTCAGGTAGCTCAATGAATATCATTTTACTAAAAGTGGTAAATGAAATACAAGCGAATAATAGAATCATACCAAAAGCACGATCAATATCTGTGTCCGATAATTCGAGCGTCGTTAAGAAAGGGGAAATTGTATTAGTTACATTTGCAGAAAGTGTCATCAAAGACACAAAGTTCCAGGTAATAGGCACGGACATAGCCTATAATATAATATTGGGTAGGCCATGGATTCATTATGTTGATGATGTCCCTTCCACGTTGCATCAAGTCATCAAATTTCCATACAGTGGAGGATTCAATAAATCTGGGGAGATCAACAGGCCTCACGAAATATTAATTCAGTGGTGATCTCAAATACAACATCCAATGGCGCATATGCAAAATAGCAATTAAAAATTTGAGTTGAGGACAATTCTATTCATACCTCAACTGAAAGTTCACAAGGACAAACTGATATGGATTCAAGACATGATATGAGTCAAGAACCAGAGAAAAATGAGAATATTAAAACAACCACGGAGGAGCTTGAAGCTATAATACT